GGGTGGCCGGGCGCCCAGGTCCGACGCCGGCCAGCGAGCGCAGGGCGGCCGGGTCCTGGGGGCGGCCCATTTGGGCCACAGCTCCTGTCTGCTTTTCCGGGGACAGAGAGAGGGAGGCCCAGCGGGTTCAAACTTGAACTCTTGTTCTTTTAAATTTAATTCTGGTTAGTGTTGCGGGAGATGTTTGTGAGAAGACCCGACACGACCCACCCTCTTCCCGAATCGAGGAGGCGGAAGCCCACAGTGTTAGAGGCCCCTGAAACTTGAAACCTTGTCTGGAAACGCCATTCTGCTGAGTACTGAAAAAAGGAAAAATGTTTTGTGCTTATGTATCTTAGGGGGAAAAACTTTATGTCATAAGCGTTCAAACTGCTGGAAATCTCAAAACTGTACTGTCTTTATTTTTGTATATTGTATTTATATATATATATAAAGAAACGTCTACTTATGCATGCTAAATTATTATTTAGCTTCTCCCATCGCCCACGATGGAATGTAAAATAAATTGGTTTTTTACTGGGTGAGAGCGCAAATCTTTCAGGGGGAGGTATGAAACGAGCTTTTCTATTTTGCTGTTGAAAAGACGCGGAGTAAGTGTATTCTGGGACTAACAGAGACGGTGAAAATCTGCATAGCAAGTGGGTGTGAGGACCACCTTCTCCTCTGGGCCCTCAGGTGGGCGGGGAACTCGATTCCTGCCGCTGGGGAGTGGCAGGTGCGAAGTGTCGGTAAAAATCCCTGAGCCCAGGTGTCAGCGCTGGTGTAGGGGTGCCTGGCTCGCCTCTGTCCCGGACGCGTGAATCTCAGGAGAATGAATTTGGACTCAATAATTTTCCTATTTCCTTGAGGATCTTCTGGCTTCACTGGCGCTCCAGAAGTGGAAACACACTGCAAGTTTCGGAAAATCAGCTTCAAACGACTAGACCTTATTGGTGTTTGGGTTCTGGGTGGCCCTGGGCGCCCCCGACGCAGATTCCCCGGATTGCCTCGCATAGCGCGGTGCTCCTCGCTCTCCTGGGCCCCGGCCCTCCCTCCCACAGAACCTGCCTAGCGCTGGCCAGTAACGGTTTTCTGGGGTCTGGGCAAATGTCCGCGAGGACAGCAGCGGGCGACAGGAACGCTTCCCGCCGGGGCTGCAATGGCTCGGGGTTAATAAGCCGCCGCGGCGCGGCCATCAATCACCGCCGAGCCAGGCCGCCATGTGCTGCACACATGCCGGCTCCGCCTCGCGCCGGCCTCCGCCCGCTCTCCGGCGCCTCTCCCGGTCTCTCCCGGGCCTCCCTCGGCCTGGAGGAAACAGGAGGCCAGGGGACACCGCTTCTTTCTCCCTCCCCTCGTGCCTCCCTCCTTCCCTCTGCTTTTCTCTTTCCCGCGGCGCCTGGGCGTGGGGTGCGCGCCCTCCTCCCCTCCCTCTGTCCCCGCTGTTCGCCCTCCTCCCCGCTGATAAATGAGTTCAGAAGGGTCTGGCGTTTCATTTGGGTGATTACCGCGCAGGCGAGCGGGCCACTCCTCTACCTCTGGGCCGGGTGAGATTAATATCCTCTCTGGCAGCTCATTATCACCCGGCCCTTTCCATAAAATCCAGCCTCAGCCAAGGCGGGGGCGCGGCGCTGCCGGGAGCCGGGCCGGAGCAGCTGCTGGGCGCGGGCGCGCGACCGCCGCGGGGTGCAAAGGTGCTCTGGGGGAACCGGGACTGGGTTTGCAACTCGTGGGAAAGCCGGGGGGTCCCGAGGAAAGGGGGTGGGAAAATTAGAGAGGGGGGTGGGGAGGGGGAGAGGAGAAAGACAGGTGACATTCTGGGTTAAAAAAATCTGCAATCGGTGTACATCTCATTTTAATTTCTAACACATTGGTGAAGTTCAGCCCGAAGCATTCTCTTCCCCGCTAGCTCCACATCTGGGGTTTATTCCCTGCCGCCCCCTGCTCGGCGCCCCCACCCCACATTGGGCAGCGGGGGTTGGGCGGCCAGGCCTGGGAGTTGAGCGCCTCAGGCCCCCGCGGAGGTGCTGTCCCTCTACCTCAGGGACAGGCCCCCTGAACCCCGGAATCGGCCCGCTGCCTCTGCGGCAAAGAAGGGAGGCACTAAGTAAGATGTGATTGTGACCCCTCCCCCCACCACCAGGCCGGCAGCGCGAGCCCGGGTTCGGCGCCGGGACTTGGCCGCCCAGGAGGCCGGACAGCGCGCGGCCCCAGCGTCTCCAGCCAGCTGCTTAATCGCGGCGGAATTTATCTCGCTAATAAATTTAATGATCAATTCGTTCTTGTCACAGTAGCTCTTCCCCAAATCAATTATAGCAAATTTCAATATAATCACTGGCTCATCCTCACCCACTCCGGGCACGGCGAACAATTCATTCCGCCTAATGAACGGCCGCCAGGCCCCGGACCTCCCGCTGACCCCGCGGGGAGGGGTGATGGGCTCTGCAGCCCCGAGGACCCGGTTCCCAGGACCCGGAGCCAGGTCTACGCAGCTGGAGCCCAGAGCGAGACGGAGGCGTTGTTCTCAGACAAGCCCAGGCTTCTCCTGGTGCTGGGCCTGGGTCAGCCGCTCCCTGCCCTGCAGACTCTGGCGGCGCCGGGTCACTGCGACCCGGGGGCTGAGTCTCCAGTGAGGACCCCCACCCGGAGCGGACCCCGCCCTCTAGAACCCCAGCTCGGCCTCCTGCCCATCCAGGGCCCGACCGCTGGGCGCGAGTTCTCTTCGCCCTAATAGGAGGTTCTCCTCCGTTCCCAAAAAAGGCAGGTCGCTGTGTGCGAGTGCCTCCAGCGTGTGAAAAAGGATGTGGATAAACCCCTTTTTGTGACAAAGAAATCAATCTACACGCACCCTCCAGGAGACAGCCCACGGGTCTTCTGTCCAGTCCTGGCAGCTCTGGCCCAGAGTGGAAGGCCCTGAGGAGAAGCCTTTAATATGCCCCGAGTTTGAGAGGTGCAGAAACTACTAGAACAGCGACGAAATGGGCCTGTTCCTTCTGGTCGGATTTCCCCTACTCCAACCCCAGATGGGAGCCAGCTTGGCAAAATCAGCTTAAAAGACTTTCTGTGACACCAAAAGCACAGACAGGAAAAGCAAAAATAGAAAAATGGGATTACATCAAACTTAAAAAACTTCTGCCCAGCAAACAAACAGAATGAAAAGGCAACCTAGGAATGTGACCAAACACTTGCAAACCATATATCTAAGGGGTTAATCTCCACAATATAAAGAACTCATACAACTCAACAACAGCAACAAATCCAACTTAAAAATAGGCGGAGTTGAATAGACATTTCTCTGAAGAAGATATATGTGGTCCACAAGCATATGAAATAAGATGCTCAACATCACTAATCATGAGGGAAATGCAGATCAAAACCACAGTGAGCTATCACCTCACGTCCATTAGGATGGCTGTTATGAAAACAAAAGCAAAACAGAAAATAGCAAGTGTTGGTGGGGATGTGGAGAAATTGGGACCCTTGTGCACTGTTGGTGGGAATGTAAAATAGTGCAGCCACTGTGGAAACAGTAGAAGTTTCCTCAAAAAAACCCTAGAATTGCCAAATGATCCAGCAATCCTACTTCTGGGTGTATATCCAAAAGAATTGAAAACAGGATCTAGAAGAGATATTTGCACACCCATGCTCATTGCAACATTATTCACAAGAACCAAGAGGTGGAAGCAACCCAAGTGTCTGTCAACAAATGAAAAGATAAAGGAAATGAGATACATACATACAATGGAATATTGTACATTATTACATATAAAGAAGGAAATCCTTGTTATTTGCTACAATATGGATGAACCTTGAGGACATTATGCTAAGTAAAATAAGCCAGGCACAAAAAGACAAATACTGCATAATTCTACTCAGAGCTGGAACCTAAAATAGTAGCAACAGAAAGTAGAATGGTGGTTGCCAGGGGCTGGGAGGAAGGGGAAAAGGGGACTTGTTGGATGGGTACAGAGTTTCAGTTTTGCAAGACGAAAGAATTCTAGAGATCTGTTGCCCAACAATATGTATGTAGTTAATACCACTGTACTCAATACTTAAAACGGCTAAGATGGTTACAAAGTCAGGTTTTCCTTCCTTCCTTCCTTTCCTTCTTCCCTCCCTTCCTTCCTCCCTCCCTCCCTTCTTTCCCTCCTTCCTCCTCCCCTCCTCCCTCCTCCCCTCCTCGTCCCTCACCTCTTTCCCTTCCCTCTTTCCTCCTCCGCCTCCTCCTCCTTCCTCACTCCCTCCCTCCTAAAGACAGGGCAGATTTGCTGTAGAACATCCCAGGCCAAGGAAGGAGTGCCTGCCCAGGACCCGCCTGGACCTGAGCAGGGGCGGGTTTGACGGTCCGCAGCTGCCGCTCCTGCGCGTGGTTGGGCGCTCCGCCCCGCACTCCAGGCGGTTTCCGCCGAGCACCCCCCAGGGCTTTCGGGTTAACTAACCCCCGAGGCCTCCCCTTCGTCCTCCCGACCTTGGGCCTGGGTCCGCCCAGACCGCGGGCGGTGGCGAGGCCGGGACTGCGCTCCCGGGGGAGGGGCTCCATGGCACGGCGCGGGCGGCGGAGGGGGACCCGCGGGGCCCGCAGGACTCCCAGGGAGGGGGCCGCGCAGGGTGCGGGCGACGTGGGGGTGCTCCCCGCAGGACGTGGGCGCCCCCCGCCCCGTATCAAAGTCCTGCGGTGCATTGTGTCTCCGTCAATAAAACTAATCCCTTCGGAGGTGTGACCGCGCCGGGAATGTGCAGTGCTCCAGACTACAAGGGCCGTGTGGTTTTCAGATTTGGTTTTATGGTCGGATTAAAGTTTATTTTCCATAATAGGGCACCTAATAAAACTCATAAAGCCGGGTCGGGCCTCCAGCTGGTGGCCTCGTTTAACACTTTCACTTCGTAAATCACTTTACGACGCTCCAGGTGTGTCCCAACTGGACGCCAACGAGAAACAGCCCCCGCGAGCGGGGCCGGGGCCGGGAGTCGGGGCCGGGGGTCGGGGCTGGGGTCCGAGTTTTGGGGCCGGGGCCGGGGTCGAGGTTCCGGTCGGGTCGGACCAGAACCCCCCTTCGCCCGCCCCCCCTCGCACCCCGCGAGTCAGGGCGACCCTGGCGGGAAGGCGGGGTCGGGTAGCGGGTGGGGGCGGACCTTGGCGGGGACCCCCATTCCCTCGCGGCCCGCCCCCCGGCCCCGTGCCGACCCTGCATTCCGCGGCCCGCGCACCTGGCCGCCCCCCCAAGTGTACACAAGGCTCCTCCGGGCCTTTGTCCGCGGCGCCCGGGCAGGACAAAGGTGCCCCCACCCGGGCGGCGCGGCGAGGGGCGCGGGCGCGGTTTACCCAGCTGGGAGGAGGAACAAAGGCCGCCGCCTTATCTGGGGGGGCCAGGCGGAGCGCGGGGTCAGGGCGGGGGCGCGGCCGACGGCGGGAAGGGGTCGCTGGGCTGGGGCCCCTCCCGCCCGGGATGGGGTGACCTGTCAGCTCCCTGCTGCTCAGGCCGGCCGGCCTCACCATCAGCTCCCAAACGGGCGCCCGAACCGCTCCGGGAGGATGCGGTGCCAGGAAGAGAAGCGTGGAGAGCGCGTGAGGAATGGGGACCCTCCCCGGCGAGGGGCCGGGCCTGCGGTCAGCCTCCAGAGTTAACCCCTTTCTGTCACCACGCCTGTGGTTTTCCTGTTTGTTATTCTTCCAGATTCCAAGCCACCTTTCTTCCAAGCATCGCGCTTCCTTTTCTGTGCTGAAATAACATCTTGGAAAAGAAAAAACAAAAAGAGAATCAGGATTGATCCGGGGCGGGGGTTGTGAGCAGAGAGGCGCGGCCTCCTTGGTGGGGGCTCCCGCCCTTAGTGCGGACCGGCCGCGGGGGGCTCTCCCTGCCGCGCCCCGTCAGAGCTCAGGGCCTCGTGCCACCTGTGGCCCTGGTGCTGCCTCTAAGCAGAGGCCCACACGGAAGATCTGGGCGGCTCTGGCTCTTCATAACAGAGGCCACACTGCGACAGGAAACTTGCAGGTTATCGTTTTAATAAATAAATCTGAGAGGGAATGCAAATTGTGTTTTTTCCTGGGTCTGCAACACATACTTAATACCTTTCACCACCGATTATCCTGGTGATGAATTTATTCCAGGGGGTCATCAGATTCCCATCAGCACTTGCATTAGGTACCTGAGTGACACCGCAGCCTTTTCACCCGCAAGACAGACAATAGTCAGCTCAAAGTGCACCCATGCACTCACTCCTTCTCCAGCCTCTTCAGAATCCCTGCTCCATGCTGGACACTTCTAGGCACTAGGAGATCCTGGTGAATAAAACAGCCCCCCCCCCCCGGAGTCCCATTGTTGTGGGAGGAGAAAGACAGTGAAAAACAGACAATATGAAAAACAGGTGACTTGTATCGCGTAAAGGTGCCTTTTATACACGAGGTCTGTGTGGGGTCATTGTGAAGGGGGCTGAGGGAGGAGAGCGGTCCAGAGCATTTTGCATTTTGCATCACACATTTAAGACTTCTCGGGAAAATAAAAGAGAAAACCAAAATTTTCTTGTAAAAAGGTTCATTGCCAATTTTAGGGAATTGGGAAGATCTCTGGAAGAGGGCACTCAGGAGCAATAATCCGACCCAGGCACGGATGCTCCTGCCCTGGGGAGCAGAATGCTGAGGTTGCCCCACCTCGTGCACACACAGTGACATCAGACGCCCTTTGCGCCCGCCTGGTGTCTCCACAGCGTTCCCTTCACACACAGTGTGTCTTGCGTCCTTGCATTTGCAGAGGCCATCCTTCCTGCTGGGCTCGTGTCACCCTCAATTTCCCTAGTCCTATCCATGCTCCCAGATGGGATGCAAGCCTGTCCCCCCAGATGCAGTTACTGTGCCCAGAGCAGAGGGCCGTGGAGAAGGGCAGGGACCCCGGATCCCGGCCGCCTGGGCTTGCATCCTGCTCACCTAGCATGTGGCGGGGCAAGTTCCTTGACCTCACGCCCGTGTCCCTGCCTGCAACTTGAGGACTCTAACAGGTCCCACCACACAGGAGCTGAGAGGGTTAGACAACCGAACTTTTGTAACGGGCCAGGCACCACATACAGGCTCAGGGATAATTAAACAGATGAATAAAGAAACCAACATCTTTCCCCCTCTCCACACGGTGCCTCTCCATCCCACAGTCTGCAGACCCGCATGGCACACAGAGTGCATCCACACGCTCTAGTGAGGGTCCTGGCAGTTGTAGCTCAGGCTAGTCTGGGGAAAAGATGCAGCAGGGTGGGGGGTAAGCAGCGGAAGCAGGGAGTGGGGAAGCAGTCTTTGGAAAGACTCCAAGAGGGGCCGGCCCCGTGGCTTAGCGGTTAAGTGCGCGCGCTCCGCTGCTGGCGGCCCAGGTTCGGATCCTGGGCGCGCGCTGACGCACCGCTTCTCTGGCTATGCTGAGGCCACGTCCCACATAGAGCAACTAGAAGGATGTACAGCTATGACATACAACTATCTCCTGGGGCTTTAAGGGGTAAAAATTAAATAAATAAAATCTTTAAAAAAAAAAAAAGAAAGACTCCAAGAATAGGACCCAGGAGGCAGAGGTGTGGGTGCAATCCTGGCTTCCACACTTCCAACTGGGTGGCCTTGGGCAAGTGACTTAACCTCTCTGAACCAGGGTCCTCCTCTGTCAAGTGGGGCCTAGCAGCGCGTGTCTCGTAGGGTGGCTATGAGAAAAACAAAAAACCTGTAAAAGGGAGGGCCCATCACAAAGGACGTAGCCCCCACCCTTTAGCCCCTCCTGCTGGCCCCTCAGGATTCCTGTGCCCTCTCGCCCATGGTGTCTCCTTTTCTCCACTTCCGGCCCTCCTGGGTTTGCCTGTCAGGTGGCACACGCACCCAGGGCCACTCTAGCGCTGACTCTGGGACCGGTCAGCTCCTGTGTCCATGCCTGCATGATCACTGCAGGATGGAGAGAGAGACAGGTGAGGGAGAGTGAACCAGCTGACAGCTTCCAGCCAATCAGCCTTTACCAGCCCTGGTGCCCTGCTGCGGTGCCCCCCCCCCACCGATGCCTCATATGTGGTCATGTGTCCTGTTTGACCAACAGGACATTTGCAAATGCGACGCAACTGGAGCCTTGACAGTTGCTTGCACAGCAGTTGCCATACGGAGAAGCACGGGGTGGCTGGCGAAATGCTGAAGGCCCATGGGCCAGCTGACCTGCAGGCTCACAGCAGCCGTGAAAGCAAGTCCCGCCGAGCCCCACCTGAATCATCAACCCACAGAAAGACAAGCTGATAAACATTGTTTTGGGTCAGTGTGTTCGGGGCGGCTTGTTTCACAGAAAAAGCTGTGTGATCCCGTGCACACTACTGGGCACAGCCCATCTTCCCAGGCCACACCTTTACAGGTACATCAGTGAGCTCTGGCCTAGCAACCGCTGGCTGGACCCCTGCTTACTGAGCCACAGGGTATTTACTGAGTAACTCTCGTGTGCCAGATGCTGTCTGGGCCCTGGGCAGGAAACAAAGGACAGCAGAGCCATGCTCGCTGTGCCCTGAGCCTCAGGGTGTAGCAGACCGTAGGAAAGATGGCCCGGGAGGGTAGCAGGAGTGGGCAGCATGCTGGACATGTCTTCAGAACTGCCGTCCATGCCAATAATTACATAGTCTCCCACACTAGCCTGTTAGCTGCTTAAATGCAAGGCCCAGCGCAGGCCCCGTGGCTTAGCGGTTAGGTGTGCGCGCTCCGCTGCTGGCGGCCCGGGTTCGGAACCCGGGCGCACACCGACGCTCGGCTTCTCCGGCCATGCTGAGGCCGCGTCCCACATACAGCAACTAGAAGGATGTGCAACTATGACAGACAACTATCTACTGGGGCTTTGGGGAAAGAGAAATAAATAAATAAAATTAAAATGCAAGGCCCACGTCAGCTGTTGTGTCAGTTAGGGTTAGGTTGTGTCAGTTAGGGTTAGGACAGGCTCAGATGACAGGAGAGCCAGAACAACAGCGGCTTACACAAGCAGAAGTTCATTTCTCTCTCTTCCAAACCTAGGCTGTCCGGCGCTGGTCTGGTGGCCCCATGATCCCCAGGGACCCAGGCCCTTTATCTCCTGGCTTTTCCTCCGTGGTTCAAGATGGCGGCTCAGGTTCCTCATCCCAGTCAACAGGGACAAAGGGCAAATAAGTGCATATCCTTCCCAGGAGTTCAGAAAGTGGCACTTTAACTTCTACTCAACTGTCTAGAACTCTTAACACGGCCACGCTGAGCTTCCCCAGAGACTGGGAAATGAGTCTGTGTCTCCAGTAGGCCATGGGCCTAGCTAAAATTTGGGGTTCTATTCTGAGGGAGAAAGAGGTGAATGGATATTGGAAAACGACTAACTTTGCCACAGGTATTTGTTTTGGATTTTTGATTTTTTTTTGCTGGGAAGATTTGCCCTGAGCTAACATCTGTTGCCAATCTTCCTCTTTTTTTTTTCCTCCCGAAAGCCCCCGTGCATGGTTGTATATCCTAGTTGTGAGTCCTTCTAGTTCTTCATTGTGACCCGCCGCCACAGCATGGCAACTGACAGACGGGTGGTGTGGTTCCACACCCAGGAAGTGAACCCAGGCCACCAAAGTTGTGAGAGCTCCGAACTTTAATTGCTAGGCCATTGGGGCTGGCTTGTGTTTTGGTTCTTTCTGTGTGTATGTGTGGTAAAATACAGGTAACATAATTTTTTATCATTTTAACCATTTGTAAGTGTATAATTCATGGCATTAAATACACTCAAGGTGTTGTGTACCATCACCACTATCTACACCCCAAACTTTTTCATCAGCCCCCACCTAAACTCTGTCCCCATTAAATAATAACTCCCCTTCCCCTCCCCCAGCCCCTGGGTAACGTCTACTCTACTCTCTCTCTGTGAATTTGCCTATTCTAAGTATGTTTTGGTTCTTTTTAAACTTCCCATAGCATCCGGTTTAGAGATGAACACATGAAAAAGACCTGATTAATTAAGTTGGCTTTTCCCCACTTCAGCAAAGGTACCACTATCCACCCCAATGTTTGAGCCAAAGACTCTGGAGTCACACTCAGTCCTGGCGTCCCGTCATTCTCCTCCGTCCCCTTTGCAATGCTGGGTCTACCTCCAGGACACACTACTTTTCTCCAGCACTGTGGCCTTCACACCATTCCGGCCACTGCCACCTCTCCCCTGACTGTCACAATGGTCTCCTAACTGGCCATCCCCATCCCCATCCTCTCTTGTGGCTGAGAGTCCATTTGCAGCAGCCAGGGTGACCTACAGAAACCCAGCCTCAAGTATAAGTCACAGACAAGCGTCCCACGAACTCACTCTGGTCCGTCCAGCATTCACGGGACTTACTGTGCTGCCCGTTACCGGCTCTAGTGTTCGTAAACGTAACTCAAGTGAGCAGACAGCTGGCCAGGATGTCCCCAAAGAGCCCAGGGCTTGGGTCGTGAACAGAGCCTCCATACGAGTCAGGGCAGATTGAAAAGTCATCCTCCCTGGCTGAACATTTCACTTTGAAAAATAAAGCCAGTGCATCAAAAAACATAAGTCCTGGGGCCAGCCAGTGGCACAGTGGTTAAGTGCGCACGCTCCACTTTGGTGGCCTCACTTCGGCAGCCCGGGGTTTGGATCCTGGGCACGGACCTACACACCACTTGTCCCACTTGTCAAGCCATGCTGTGGTGGTGTCCCACATACAAAATAGAGGAAGATGGGCACAGATGTTAGCTCAGGGCTCCGGGCCAATCTTCCTCACCAAAAAAAACAAAAACAAAAAAAGTTAAAAAAAAACATAAGTCCTCTGCTAAATTCAAAACCAGAAACATAGGCCGATTTCGCAGCTCTCAGAAATCCTTCTCTGTTTTCATGGGTAAAGAAAACATCAGAATCCTCACATGGTGCACTCCTGGCAGTTTTCAAAGTTGCTTGAAAAATCCTGAGAGTTTTCCAAGAAGCCGCCAGGGGAGCTCATGACCCAAGGGAGCGTTTCTCTCGGAAGCTCCCCGATGCAGGTGGGCTGGAGGGTCCTTGCGTGTCTGGCCCCTGCCCCTGGGGGCCCATGGAAATGCCCGGCGCCCCCAAGCCGCGAGGCTTCGGAGGCCTTCTATCTTCTATCTTCATAAAACAAAGTAATTCGCTTTTAATGACTGCCGGTGTTTTCTTTCCCAGTTCTATTTGAGCAGATAATGTGTCTGAGGCCTTCCCAACAGGGTTAAACCACGGTGACCTTCATAATCAGAGAACAGAAATAAATTATATTTACTCATAAATGTTACCAAGCCTCCAGTGCCCAGCTGCCTCCTAATCGCAGATGGTGTGATAATATTTGGCTTTTATCGGGCCTCTCACTCTCGGTAACAAAGTGCTTTATTATTCCTGCAGCCAGGAGGGGCCAGGGCCCGGGGCCTTTCTCACTGACACCGTGCCGCCCGGGGCTCTGGGGTGGCCGGCACGCGGGGCACAGGGCTCCCTGCCAGTCACCCCCAGTCACCTGAGGAGCTGCTCGCCTGGGAGCCCGTGAACCTTAAGAACCGGTGCCGGGAGGGCAGGTGGGGAGCAGAGCCCCCCAGGGCCCCTGGGACCCTGGCTTCCCTGCTTCCTGACCGAGGAGGTGGCACCGGGCTCAGTGATGTGAAAACACTCTGCCCACTGTCCTGTCCGGCAGGACACGAATCAGCGGCCTCGCTGCACCTGCCCGACCCAGGCCCCCAGGCCCCCATTAACCCCTGGTGGGGAGGGGGGACCCTTCACTGTGGACTCTCCTACCCGACATCCACTGCCAAACGCTCACGTCCTCACCACCAGTGGTTGATTTGGTTTAGCTACACGTCTCACAGGAGCTCAGCCAGGAGGCCAGCAGCAGGGACGTGGGCTGTTCTGGAAGGCTCGACCCCAGAGGCCGCGGGCCCGCTGGTCTCTGAGAGAAGGCAGGTCCCCGCAGGCTGGGTAGGAGCCGCTGGTCTCTCAGGCGGCAGCTCGGATGCTTCCAGGCCCTGGGGAAACCAAGCCTTACTG